ATTATTATTATTTGCTGCTACATACTTAAGCAGACCTTCTCTTTCTTTATAGTCTAAGAAGAGTTCCTCTATCCCTTCTTATTCTCATTATAACATTACCTAGATTTCTACACAATAGTTGGTGTTAGACTATAATATTTTATGACCCTGCTCTTCAGAGATCTCATTTCTTTCACAGCTCCAAATCTTGACAGCACAGATGACCCTTAGGTTTCTGTGTTGAGACTCAAACTCTCTCCTAAGCAACAGTTCTCCCATCTCTCAACTTCCTTTTAGCCAATAACACTTGTGCCACCACCTCACATTTAACAGGTCTTGCGACTGTTCCTTTCAGTACTTTAATAAATACTTGACTTCACAGAGTTACAACAGTACTGACTTTGCCTTTCCCAAATTCTTCCTCTAGACCTTCCTCTTTCTGTCATTGGTACCATTATTCTCTCCAAAGGTCAGTTTACATTTTTGGAGTTGCCTGTGACATTTCTTTTACCCTTAGCTTTCAAAGGCCCCTGTCATCAAACCATTCCTTTTCATTTCCACTATTGCCACTCTATTCTGGACTTTCATCATCTTATACTTCATGAACTTCAATAGTTTTCCTGATTCTTTTGGTTTCTTGCCTTCTGGTCTTCCTAGCATATTACAGCCACATTCATCATCCTAAATCATCATTTGTACTGTACCATTTTGCTCCCAGATAAATTACTTGCTAATACTTACAGATTAAGGTCCAGACCCCTTAGTCAGTGCATTTAAGGGTATACCCAATCTGGGTATCATCCCACCAATATTATGTCCCACCACTCCCATATACAAATGCAAACTAAATTGAACTGCTTATCCTCCAGTGTGTATTTCTGTCTCTTCATACTAACTCTTCCTGTTCTCTTTTTCATTACACCCAATCCTTCAAATGCTAGCCCGAACGTTGCCTTTCTGAAATCTTTGCCACTGCAGTTCTTAATTATCTTTTTCTTCAGTGAGATCCTTCTAAATTGGTGTATGCTTCTTTTGCTGTGAGATCCTTCTAAATTGGTATATGCTTCTTTTGCTGCTTTGTAGTCCCATTCTGACTCTCAATGTGTGCATGCATGCAAGCTAAGAGGATTGTTGTTATGTACATAGCTGACCCAGAGGCTGTAAATCATATGGGAAGAGATTGCCCATCTTAATCCCATGGAGCACTTAGTGGATTTGCAGCTCCTGCCGCCAGTTCCTCCTTTCTTAAGGATATGAGACTATTTTTGAAACATCTTTGAATTCCATCCTAACCTAGCAAAGTGGGTTTTGTTTGTATTTCCAAAGCAGTGTTATTGCAATAAAATTCATATAGTGGCTCTTCTTTCTATCAGTCTAGTATGGTTACCAGGGAGGAGAAGGAGCAGGGAGTAGAAAATGTATCGATAGACAGCAAACACTTAATAGGATGAGTGAAGGGAAGGTCATTGTGGAATGAATGGATGATTAAATATTGTGTGTATTGTTATTAATGTTACAGAACAAAATCTGTACGAATGATTGGGAACCCCCCTCCCATATGCTTTGTAAGTTGTCACTGAAATAACAATAAAAAATAATAGTATTTATTCACATTTTTCCATTTTGTAAATTTTTCATAAATAGTATGAGTACAGGCTTACAGAATAAATGGTGAAGGGTAACATTGTTGGAGAAGTATTCTTTGAACAAATATGGCCACTGATGATAGAGCATATAGTTAAGATTTTCAGATTCACTGTGTCTTCTATATTTTGTCTTGGATTCTGATATTTATTCCAGGGTAAACAGCTGTGTGAAGAGTGATGAACATGTCCTGGAGGAATTGGAAACTGAAGGAGAGAGGCAGCTGAAAAGCCTCCTACAGCATCAACTTGATACCTCTGTCTCTATTCAGGAGTATGTATTGATTTTTCCCACATGAGAGAGTATCATAAATGCTGTCAGTTGGCATAGCCTTCTTAAAGTCTGTGTGATATATTCCTTTCCCACATCATTTGCTTAATATACTTTCACTTATTAGGCAGGATTTTGATTCTATGTCAGTTCCTCTAGGAAGCCCATATCCCCTCAGTCTGGGTTAAGTACACTTCCTATGTCCTATCACTTAAAAAGGGGGGGGGGAAGACTCATTTGCCCTTAAATTGGAAGCAACTCATAGCAGACCCTCAGTTGAATTTCCAGGGATGTGTGTAGCAAAGGAGGAAATTGTCCACCGAAGAGGCATGGCCTTGGGGTTCAAAGCACAACTCCCTTTGAGTCACCAGAACTCCCTTCAGTAGCACCTAGCATCGCCAGTGGGTTTTCAGAGACTGTAAATTGCACAGGAGTTGATTGCTTATCTTTTTCTCACTGAGCAGCTGGTGGATTTGAACCTTGTTCTTTTGGGTTATCAATGCCACTCCTTACCTCTAGGCCAGTAGAGCTCCCTCAAAGCCTAGTTTTTATGTGCTGCTGAGTCATATCGGATCCTTAGCTGATCCTCCAGAGGGTTTTCAGAGGATATAAATCCCACAAGAATGTCCATCTTTCTTCTCCGGAGCAGGTGATGGACTTGAAACTTTGACGCCTTTGGTGTGGCAGCGCCACTCTTTTACCACTAGGCCACCAGAGATTCCTCGAAGCACAGTGGTAGTAGTACTTAGTAAATATGTGTTGATTCAGTTATAAATCCCGGAGAGGCTATTAATAGAGTTCCATTTCTTTTCAATAGTGCTTCAGCCGAGAAATAGAGTGTAAGAGAGATTGTGCTGATGAATTTCTAAAGCCTCTTATCATGGTGATCCCCTATTTCTGTGAAGTTTGGTAACCTCAAGCTGTTCTTACTGTCTTCCTATTTGCAGATGTATGTCTAAGAAAGAGAGCTTTGCTCCTGGTACTATATACAAGCCCTTTGGAAAAGAAGCAGCTGGAACTTTGACATTGTCCCAGTTCCAGACACTCCATAAAAAGGACCAGGAAACTGCTTCTCTCAGGGAACTAGGGCTCAATGAAACAGAAATCTTAACCTGGAAAAGTCATGTTACAGGTGAAAAGGTGAGTTTTCATTTGACATTGAGGACTTTTGCATTTTTTTATTGTTGTTGTCGTTCTTCCGTTTAACTCGGTCTGAATTATACCCAGTTTCCAGAATAGAGACTTTGATAAAAGAGAAGAAATCTTTGGCTTTTAGCTAACACTTTTATATAAACACTCGCTTCTGGGACCTGATATTTGCTTGTCATGTACCATCAAGTTGGAAGTAACCCATAACTGACCCATCAGTAAATACCCAGAGGCTGTAGATCTCATAGGAGGAGATTGGCCATCTTTCTGCCTTGGAGCAGATTGCCCATCTTTGGATTTAAATCGCCTGCCTTTGGGTTGGCAGCACAACTCTTTACTTATTAGGTCGCCAGTCTCATCTTACTTCATACTTTCAGGCTTTGTCCTCTCTGATATATGCCATCTCGTCTCTGGTTTTAGAGAACAAGACTGAGGGCAACACCTGAAGCAATACAGAACCGTCTTCAGGATATTGAAAAAAGGATCACAGAGCGGCAGCGCATCCTTTGCTTGCCTCAGAGATTTGCAAAGAGCAAACAACTGACCCGGCGAGAAATGGAAATAGAAAAGTCTTTATTTCAGGGAGCTGATCGTCACTCCTTCCTTAAGGCTCTTTATTACCAAGGTATGTGATCCCCACTGACTTTGATGTGTTCTTTCATACCACACATGAGGAATCAGTCAAGAGAACAAAGGAAGACAAATAAGAACCAATCTCTACTCTTAAGGAAATTATAGTCCCACAAGAGAGATAAAGCTATATATAGATAGTTGCAATTCAACACAGAAATTGGTGTTACAGAGAGACGTGTAAAATGCTGAGGGAGCATAGAACATAGGACATCTTAGTACAGTTGAAGGAATCACCAGTTGACATTTGTACTGAATCTTGAAGGATCAACAGGCATTTGTCAGGTAAATAAGGGCAAAGGGACATTGTAGATGGTGGTGAATAGGGTTGGGAAAACATGTAGTGTGTTTAGAGAACTGTGAAAAGTTCAAGATAGCAGAGAATGACAGGAGATGACACTGTAAATGTTGGTTAGCTAAGATCATGAAGGATCTTTAGGTTCAGCTATAATTTAGTACAACATATCAGATATTAACTGCATCTTAAATATGTTGTTGTTGTTGTTATGTGCCATCGAATCACTTGCGACTCATAGCGACCCTATGTACAAGAGCTCTAAATGCTATTCTATCCTGTGCCAACCTAGCCATCTCAAACGCACTTATTCCCACTGCTCCAGTCACAGAATTGATCCATCTCAATCCGTCTCACCGAAGGTCTTCTCCTTCGCTTCCCCTCCACTCTGCCAAACATGATGTCCCTTTCCAAGGACCAGTCCCTCCTTGCAATATGCCCAAAATATGTCAGACGAAGCTTCAGAATCCTTGACTCCAGGGAATACTCTGGCTTTACCCTCTCCAGGACAAACCTGTTTGTTTTCCTAGCAGTCCATGGTATATTCAGCACTCTTCTCCAGCACCACAGCTCAAAGGCATCAATCCTCTTTCTATCAGCCCTATTCACTGTGCAACTCTCTGATGCATAGCACGTAATTGCGAAGACTGTGGCGTGGATCAGGCGCACCTTAGTCTCCAGCCTGACATCGTTGCTCTTCAGTACTGTTGAGAGGTCCCTCACAGCTGACTTTCCCAATGTAATTCATCTCCTGATTTCCTGGCTGCTGTTACCAAGAGTGTTGACTGTGGAGCCAAGTAAATTAAAACTATTAACTATCTCAATCTCCTCACCATCCATGCTGATGCTGCCAATTGGCTCAGTGGTTAGAATCTTTGTTTTCTTGACATTTAGCTTCAGTCCATATAGGAGGCTGTAGTCCTTGATCTTAACTATAAAGTATTTGTTTCATAGATAAGATTTGCTAGACACTATGGAAGATTCACAGAAGTTTAAGAAATGGCTCCCAACCCTGTGCCAATTAAATTCTGGTAAGAAAAAGAAACATTATATTTGATAGCAAGACTAGGTACAGTTATTAAGTACTGTAGGAATCCAGAGGAGGGAAATCCTACTGTATTGGTGGTTGAAAAAGTCTTCTCAGAGGAGATAAGATTTAATTGATCTTTGAATACTACCCACTCTTTTGAAAGGGGAGGGCAGAAATCAGTTTCTAGAGATGGCAAGAACATAGAGGGATGTTGGGGAGAGTTGCGGGAAACTTTATTACCATGGCATATGGTGAAGGTTAGAAAAGTAGTTTAAAATAATGGAGAATCTTTTTATGATGAGGAAAAAGATGTGAGTTTTACTTTAGTGGGTAAGATGGGCCTATACTTTGGGTATGTTTCTAGGAGAGCTATTCCTTGGAGGACATCATGTTTGTAAAGGTGGAGACATGGTAAAGGAGAGGAGGACCCTTAACCAGATGGATTGATATAGTGACTGCAGCAATGGGCCCACATGTGTCAGAGATTGTGAGGATGGCACAGGATAGGACAGAGCTCAGATCTGTTATTCATAGGGTCACTATGGGTCGTATTCAACTTGAGGGCACCTAGCAACAACAACAGATTGAGTTAGTATCTTGAATGCGATTTAAGATTTTGAGCCAGAGGTAAAATGATTACAAGACCAGTATTTAAAAAGGATTCATTTGGTGGCTAGTAAATAGGATTAGTGTGGGGAAGAACTGGAAGCAGAGAAAACAGTTAAGAGGAATTAGGGTGAATAAGGCATGAAAATCTAGACTAGAATGATGGCAGTAAGATTTGCAAGAAAGGACGTATTGCCAGAGCCCTTGTAAAGAGACAGTTGCTAAATCTGACAGAGAATGAAGGAGGAGGAGGGTCAGTGGACAGGATTGTGTTAATGATTACGTGAGTGTTACAAGCTGTGGGATGTACCAGTTGACAAAAACTGAAAAGCTTTGTGGTGAAATTTTGAAGAGAGATGGTAGGTTTTATTTTCACCATGTTGAATTTGTGGTAATGGCAGGGTTGTCATAATACACATATTGTGGAGGCAGTAGGAAATGCAGCATTGACGAGCTGGAGAGAGGTCAGAACTAGAAAAGCAGAATTGGAAAGCATCTATGTTTAGATATATAATGTGAATTGAGACTTTGGACATGGAAGAGTAGTAGTAAAAAAAGGAAGAAGGTAAACAAATGAGTAGACTTTTGTCACAAGGATAGACTGATGGGAATCTGGAAGCTGGCTGCCTGGGAAAAATCTGGCTCGCCCTCATTCTATCTATGAGCTATTGGGCAAGTTTCTTTTATATCTTCGTTTCTTCATCTGTAAAATGAGAATATTCATATGAAGTATATTATAGGTCCATTGTTGTTGTT